TGAAGGGTGGAGAAGAGCAGCAGACTGAGGTCAAGTCCAAGCCTGTCCCACTCTTCCCACGCTTGTCTCCTGCCTTGCTTGTCTGCTGGTTCTCTGTTGACTTCTTCCCTCAAAGGAGATGAGTTGACTGTAACAGGACTATGTCTATGAGAATCCACCCAGGGCCTGGGAAAGAAGGGCGGGAAGAAATGCAGTGTGCACACCAGGTGGAGATGGGCTGTCTGAATCCAGCTGTAGCTTCTTCTTTCATGATCAGTCCTGCACAACCTTAAGATACCCTGAGGTCCTTGCAGGTCACCAATCTTTAAGAGACCACAAGACGATAGTTGTGTCCCATCAGGATACTCATTAGCTCCAGAATCTGGGATGCACCTTCCCAATTAAGTTTATAATACATTATAAATTGGAAACAAGGTAAGACCTTATGGAAGTTTCCAGGACAATTTCCAAGGGATGGACACAANCTAGTTACTAGAGGAAGCAAATCAGATACTTGTACTTTACAATAAGGTTACATTAACAGAATCAGTCTAAATCTAAAAAATTCCAGTGATTTCCTCTGAGTGGTATATAAATCTAAATGTTATAGCTATGATATTATTGTGGTTTTTACATCACTCTAGAGTAGAACCGGTACCCTGAAGTGGCTCCAGTAGTTGGAAGCTGATACTATTGGATGAGTTAGGGCAGCATTACCAGAACATGATGCTTAGAGCTACGAGTCTCTTCCAGCTAGGAAGAGGAAACAGACCAGATGAGCTATTTCTATTTTATTATAAAGCTACATTAACAGAATCTTGCAAGTCTGAAAATACAACCCCCCCCCATTTCCTTTACAATCTGATAAGTTAAGGAGGCTCCTTTCTAAGTTTCTTTCCCTTCCTCTTATGCAGCTGCAGGGCCATACCCTCTCCTATCTGATCATTTCCTAGACAGCAGCTCTTCCTGTCACTCAAGATCCTACATGCAATTACAGTGCACTTTTATCATGGCCCAAATAAGGAAGATATATTTTGGTCTGGTCCTCTTGCTTTCCCCAAATGTGTAAATGAAGTAACAGTGTCTGTACATCTGTGTGCCCTTTCTGCCTCTTTTTCACTTCTATTTGTACTTTTCTGATTATTGATATCTCTCCTAAGTTAGTCATGTTTTTGAAATGCAAGGATGGCTCACATTACTGCAAAATCCATATCCACCTGGCAGTTTTATTTCCCCTGGTTGAACTGCAGTTCCTGGATTGTGTTAACACCATTTGTGACCCACAATTTATAGCAGTGGCTGGAGAAATGATCTTCCTTTGAAATATAGCAGAGAGAAAGACCTATAAATCTAAAGTTTTTAAAACTTATTTATTCATTTATTAATTGAATTTATGTAGCAGTCCATCTTGCTGCTGCGACTCTGGGTGCCTTAAACACCCAAAAACAAAACAAAAACATACAATCTCTCTCTCCCCCCCTCCCTCTGTGTGTGCGTGTGCGTGTGCGTGTGCGTGTGCGTGTGCGTGTGCGTGTGCGTGTGCGTGTGTGTGTAAACTGGGCGGGGGTTTATATGGAGTATGGGCAGGGATGGGTTCCTGCCAGTTCTAACCTCTATAGAAGAGGTTTCACAAATCTACAGTGCCGTTTAGAACTGATTCCAGCTCCTTCCCCCCACCCGTCCCCACATCATCAAGATGAAGAGCGAGAGGAGGAATTCTGGG